GCGAAACCGCGGTGATTTGCTAGTTATTAATAAAAACCTTAAACGTCTAACTCCATTTGTTTTTTTTTTAACACAAAGATTTTAAGCGATTTCAGATAGCAGGAGGGTATTATTTTAATCCTAATAATATTTAAAAATCTTAATTTAGTAAGGATAGATGAATTGATGTTTGTTACTCTTTCATGCAAAAACTACTGAATGAATTTAAATGAAATTTTGGTACACGAGTAGATCATATCCTATCTTAGCTCATAGTGATACTTTATATACTGTTGCAAAACCATGGGAGCGTCGGGAGACAGCTACATATATACGTATTCATATATAGGTATTCATATATTGTATACCTACTAACATATACGTGAAAACTTTGTAAATATATTTAGGTGTTATTATTCAATCACACGTAGATGGCTAAATAAATTATGTAAATTAAAACATACGATTTTTTTTTTATTTAATTTACGCAGGTGAAACCAATTGATGTAAATAATACTACCTAATGCTTTCATCTAGGGGAAAAGGGATTGTTAGCAATGGAATTTGACAGCCTCATTGCTAGCAATATGCCCTATTAGGTCGACCTCCACGTAGTTTCCCCTAGAAAGCATCGTGAACAATTCTTGTTGAATTCGTCATGATGACCAGAGAGCTTACCATGAAATCTTTTCCGAAATTTCGGAGCTAAACGAAACACAAATTTGATGTTAAAATTACATAATACATGCCGTTTGGAAATATTAAAAATGTTAAAATACCGTTCCTTTGAACTTTAATGATAGGATGTATAACGAATGAAATGTTAAACTCCATTTATTGGTCCGATTTTGGTATAAACAAAAATACGAAATTGAGTCCGAAAATTCGGAATTTCATTTCATGGTAGACCCGCTGCTTCATCCTCACCTATCATCCTTCACTGGTGCCTCGCCGGTATACCGTTACGCGCTAACGGTGGGGTTACCATTCCATTATCACTTATTAAACAAATGCTTTCATCTCATGCACATATTATACAACAAATTACATAAATATCCTTAGGTATATTTTAGCGCGACTGATAATTACTATACCATTATATTTACATACATGAGTTTACATGTTAAAAATATATATAAATGTGATTGATCATCATACTAAGAGTAGCTGTTAAAGATAAATCGTTCACGAAATCTATTAACGTTTTGTTTGTTCACGTAAACGATAATGTTCCGGCCGTGCGTTAACATTGCTCGAAGACTGCCATATTATGATAGAGAATGAGAATATATATATATATATATATATTCTTTATTGCACTTGTAAGTTACATATAAAATAATCTATTTATAAATGTTGTCTCTGACAGAGATTTACTAATATATCATTACTTATACTTTGCTAATATTGTAAATATGAAAGTGAATTATTAGGTATAGATAATTTTAGTATCTTTCCGGTATATATATATATTCCTCTGGACATTGATGGTGGGAAAAAGGTCATTACTCATTTTGATACCTAGTCGCATATCTATATTTATTTCGATCGGGTTATTCATTTATATATTATACTGACATTGGATAATTGATATTACATATATTTATTATTGGGCCAATATATAGATTTTATAACTACAATAATAATAATCAGTATATAATAGGTTAATTAATATATATCGAATTCCCGATTTCGTGAATAAGGTGTATTTGTAACTGTAACTTGTGCTTTTGTTCACATCTCAGATTTTATTTAATACCTGCATTATGCTGGCGGGGCATCAGTGAGGGATAATAAATGAGAATGAAAAGATAGGTCAGTTGGCCCATCGTAAATATATACCTGGAATTCAGTACGATGGTTGCCAGGTGGTACCACGTGATTTGATAGATATAAATTATGATGATTTCTAGAAGGAAGCGTGTGGAGGTTGACATGATAATATTGCTAGCAATGCAATTGTTAGTCCCTGTTACCAACAATCCCTTCTTTCATCGATATATATATAAATATATGTAAAATGGACAGTTCGTCATTCTTTTGTCGTAAAAAGTCGTAATATGTAGGACATTATGTAGAACCAATAACATATTATTATCAGATATACTTCAAAAATATTAATGAACTTAGCTAGCTCTATATATATGAGATCTTATTTTTCATACACTCATCGCTTATAATTTAGAATGTTTTGATAGGTATGATATTAGTACTCATTATAAACCGACTTTAAAAATAAATAATTTTTCTATTCGACTATACTTTTTGTACGTTACGTGATATTTTTATGATGTGCAAATGAATTCCAATGCAGAAAGGTTTTACTAAAAAAATGTGATCGTGGTGATCACATTTTTTTATAAAGTCCATATTTTTTTTTTTTTATTATATTTTTTTATGGAATTTCAGATATATTACAAAACATTTTTGTTATTCTTTATCATAATTTCGAATTATCTAATCTGAAGGGAATCAAGTGAAATGTGACAACATTATACAGGTATTAGGTACGTAAGCACATAATTGCATTGCATAAATTATGGACGTGTAGGGGGTTAGGAGAACTGCATGTGCTGTGGTCTCAGGTGCAGTACAACTAGTAGGCATTAATTGGAGCTTTACTTGCAATATCACCTGTAATGTACTTAGATAGGTACGTTACTTTTTGTACATGGTTAGAGGTTTGAAGTAAATGATTAAACAATAGAGAAAATATTAGTAGTATTGATTGGTTTTCAAATTAGATAGCTTGTTTAGAGAAACCAAATAATGAAGTAACTGTGACAGAACTAAGTGCTTCGCGGATCTGAGTCTAGTCAAAAAAGTTTATTTTTAAAATCGACAAGGCCAAGATTTAGTATTAGGGCCATAAGAAATTCCAAACCAAATTTCTTTTACAGAAAATGGGTACTTTTGCAGTAAAAATTGTTTATAGAACGTGAAAAAAGTGATGACAGATTAGCTGTCATCACTCACTAGTGTCCCGCCAGTGTATACCGATAGCACAGGCGGTCCATTATCACCCATAGAAAAAGTAAGCTACGTATATCAGGCTGGTAGCACCTTTTCAATATTAGTATTTTGGGTTCGCAGCGCGCATTTTTTTTAATTATTGTTACAAAAACGAATGTTTGCAAACGGTAGTCAGTTATAAAAGTCCACATCGAAATCTAACAGCACCGACCCAAACGTGATACATCAAACTGCCGTAGCTTTGTCATTTTATGTTAGAAAGAGGAAATAGATCATATCATTGCATGCAAATGAAATCCACATGATAGTGTTCGATATCCATTAATTAATGCGGGCCCACACTCCAGGCGAGCTGACATCGGCTCCATTCAGGCGTTCAATGGATGCAAGCCCGGCGCCGCTGTCAAAGCCGTAATACACTGCCGTAGATACGCACGCGGTCTGAATAGAGTCTGAAGTGGCTATATAAACAGCTTTACACTTCCGACGCAACGAAATGCATGAATTCATGCCTGCACACTCCCAGTTACAACTTCCTCGTTGAAAATATGGTCGATTGTGTTCGTTGGATGTTGCTAACGTTACAACTAGGTTTGCAAAAGTTATGTTCATTTTTAACGATGTATACATGCACAACGGGATTTTTATAAATTTGTTATGTTTTTCGTTTCCGATAAAGAAGACTTCCAGATGAAGTTGAGAAAATTGTCAAGTCCGACAGACGCTGTAAATTCATTTTGAAATGATTCATGTATATAAAGTGGATACAGTTGGGAATTATAGATTGTGTGCTTGATTGAGCTCTAACTTGATATAAATTCATGAATATATATATTTGTTATTTATTTTTGACACCATATAAGTATTATACTATAATGACAAAAAAAGCAAAACGCCTATCAGAATTCAAGTCTTACTTGAGTTCCGATAGGTGGAATAATTTCAATTTTGTATTTTGGCCATAAGTTTTGCTGTTCTGGATTCTGGATTCGTTCCATTCCTAGATCTGGACTTGATAGCTTAGAATATAAATAATTGAGTGAACAAAGCAAGGAAACCTATAAAGTTTCTAGAGTTATCTAACTATTACCAAAATATTTCTAAATGTTTGATGATAAAATCATCAGTAATGTGCCAAATTAAAGAATTTACATAGCCTTCATAACATCTTTCTTATTTATTAAAAATATTAGTAAGTAGGTATAGAAGTCAAAATGAAGAACGTGATTAAGTAGGTTGTGGTCTGGATGTTTGTTGTAGTTTAAAAATAAACACTTCATTTGATAGTGCATTGTTTGTATTACATATTATTTGTGTTACATACTAAAATTGGTTACTGTGTGTTCGTTAAGTATGTGTTGTATATACATATATATTCTTTGTTGCACTTATAAATTACATGTAATATAATACATTTATAAATGTTGTGAGCAAGGGTGGATTTATCTCTGACAGAGATCTCTTCCAGTCAACCTAATACATTTAAAAAGCATGTCGTTAGCGGGCAGCTGAAGTGCTATCACTATATCTACATTTTAAAAATAGATGTTTAGATAATATTATTTAAAGTGCAAAAAGAGTATTATTATATCAACCTTTAATTGTCCATTGTTGAACATAAATCTCCCCCTTGGGGTGGGTTTGCCAGTAGTAGCCACGCTTGGCAGGCGGATTGTCTATCGTAGTTAGGATGTGGAGATGTTTCAAAAGGGATGCTGCTGCCCATTTCTCGCTCTTCGCCTGTAAGAGGCGACTAAGGGAGAGCGAAAAATACTGTAAGAGCACCCACGCCAAAAGGACGAGGTAGACTATTCTATGCCGGGGACACATGGGAAAAAGAGTATAATAATCGAAAAATCAGCCATAATAGCATGAAAGTAAATAATAAATAATTTTCCATTTTGAAGATTACACTACGACAGTGTGGTTTGTACTCAAAATCTTCGACTATAAACTACTTTTTTTAGGTTTTCCCAATAGACTATTGTAGAGTTTGGTGTACGTCATTTGTATCAACATTTTTTAAATATGTTTTTTTTTTGTTTCAGATATTATGGATCTCATTAGTGACGTATATTTTCTACAATACATACATGTTTTATTTTAATGGACGCCAATTTTATTATATAAGAAGAATTCTCGGGGTGAGACATTATTCATTTAACCATTTTTTTCTGTTTAGACATTATTGTTAGAATATTTTTTTTAGGAAGGTTAGGTACTTGATATTATAATTATAACAAATGGCTAGATTTAAAAATGTAATTTGCGTTGGGATTACTCATTCATGTGTGTACTACATCATAAAGATTGAAAAATCGTTAGGCAAACCCTTGGCTCTGGATTTTCTTTGCTTTCACTGATCAAAACCTGTAGTGAAGATAGAATAAATATGGTGTTTAATAATTCAGTTAGACTGACTGAATTACCGTTTCAAGATTAATGTAAGAGTAAAAGCAAAGGGTGAGTACGTTGAAAGTATTCCTAAATGGAAAATCAATGATAGATAGTTAATAACTAAAATGTTCTTATACTTTTTTATTTGAAACTTTATTTATAAAATAAATGAAATAATAAAAAAATATTTTCATATATAATTTTCATTACACCATTAAGTTTCTGGTTATGTACCTAGATGTGTCCTTTCGGATTAACTGCAAAACTCGAGTTACAATATTTTAATTTAATACATTTTTTATTGGTTTCAGTTAGGATTATGTATATCCCGTGGCACGGCATCAGTTATCAATTTATGTTGCGCTTTGGTATTACTTCCGCTGTGCAAGAAACTCAACCAAGTACTCTACCGGATCCTATCGAAATTGTGGCCGAATTTATTTTTCTTTTGGTTGGAGAGAGCGAAGAGTTTCCACATGACAGTCGCTGTAACTCTTGTGATGTTTGCTTGTTAGTATTAAAAATACAAACTAAATAAGGACTTTGAATTATAATTATAATTTCTAACTAATTGGTATCGGTATGTAATAAATTAAAAAACATCTAAATGTATGCGAGTTCATTGCGTACTAAGTCCTTTCATATCATATAATTGTTTTTTTTTTGCAATTTACAATGGCAAGGATGGGGGATATCCTCATGCGTTGCCATTTTTGAGGACTAAGGTTTATTTCTGTACTCTGTAAATTCACTGTCATATCTCACCCTTCAAATCGAAACACAGCTATGCAAAAACAACTGTTTCAGGGTAGAAACACGAATGGGACAGAGGTACCCAAGCAAATTACTTTTGTACAGTCTCCCTCTGGTAAAATAATTATTTAAGAATAATATATGTAGTGTTTAAAAATTTATGTTGAACAGGAGCAAAAACTGCAGGAAAGCAAGTTATTTTAATTTCATGTTGTTTTGATCGAAACACTGAATATTATTAGCATTTTAAACGTCGTTTTATTAAATAAAAAAAAAATTAAATTGATGTCTACCAGCTTAAAGAAGTTTTAAATGAAACAATGTGTACATCAGTATTTATTAAACTGAACAAATATCTGCAAAGAATAAATTGTAACATAAAAACAAATTTTAATTTTAATCGATTGACGTTCTGCATGTTTTCATCAATTTATATTTTACCCCATTTACTGTTTCGATCTTCACTTACCGTGGGAAAAGGTGTTTAATTTAATAAACGTTACTGCCAACTTTACAGACGTCTTGAAATTAATTAATGTAAGCGAATGGCATATAGGTAAGGCATCATAAGGCCAGACATAGGCTGTAAATCACTCAAAGGCTCTCGCTTTCAGTGCGCTATTAAGTTCTTGAGACGATTACTAATGGCTGCCGTCACTGTTAAAGATTTTTAGCTTTTAAGGTTGAGGTTGAACAAGATTGCTTTTTGTTGCTAGGATTTTTAGGCGACTATAAAATGAAAGAGATTTTTCAATACGAAAGTATGTGATGTTTTTCGGGATCTATTTTAGAATTAAATGCCTATTTTAATATAGCAATTAGATAATATGTATTTACTTATATATTTCAGTGGTACATTCAGTTTCTCACTTTGTGAATTTGTGGAATTTCTCGAGAAGTTATGATGAGAGAATGAAGGAGATCAATTTTGCTAAATATAAGAATGAAGTAAGTTTTGTAAATTTACTGTTAAATTTTAACTGTATAAATCAAAGATCAATGCCTAAAGTTATTTTTTTTTATTGCGTACAAGAGTTACTACTATTAAGATATTGGCGTAGGCCTATAAATTATGGTATGTAAACAGTTGGGTATTATATGACGTAAATATGTAGGTGGATCGTCAGCGTAGGCAGAAGAGTACACAGACATTGTATTCGTAAGTTGATTTATACTCCATCATAACGTTAGGTGACGGAAATTCTCACTGAGATTCAGTATATTATTATAACTATTCATAATTTTGAAATTAATCTATATCTTATATTACGAGTATGAAGAGACAAATTCTGGCTGACTGATTCATCAGAACACAGCTGAAACTCCTAAAGTTGCAATTATTAAATGTTGAAAGTAGGTTCCTTTTATGACCTACCTTTTATGGTATAAAAAAAAAACATAAGTAATAAGAAAGGAGTTTTTGAATTTCGGCCCCTAGAGGTGTAAATATGAGGATGGAATTATGTATAGAATTTTTTCTTTTTTAACCGAAAGATATTTGTAAATTTACCATAAATTCTCTTATATATAAAAATAATAAAACTTAATTTCAGTATTTTTAAAAAAAAAATAATTCTACTAATATTATAAATGTGAGAGTTTGTCAAGATGTTTAGATGTGTATATATTTGTTATCGAATCATGCTTAAACTGCTGAACGCATTTAAACGAAATTTGGTACATGGGTAGGTTATATCCTAATTAAACACATAAGTTATTTATGATGATTCAAGCGGACAAAGCAGCAAGTACAGCTAGTATCATAATAAATGTTATATATTTATATTATTTATTATATATTTACTATTGTGTATATAAACTACAAAAATTAAGACAATTATTTTTCAAATAAAATCAAATAATTGCAAACGGGTTTTGTGTATAAAATATGTATTTAAGTCATATATAACAGTTTTTATTGTTTTAAATTTTATGTAAATAATAATTATTATTAATATTGTAAATGTCACAGTGGATTTGCTTGTTTTTTTACTTCTTAAAGCGTTAACGGCTTAATAAGTCATATATGAAATTTTGTATACACATAATTACTATATGATACAGAGAAAGACATAAGCTACCTTTATTCCGATCAGTGCAAAAAGCCAGCTTTATAATTGCAGTAAAGGATATATTTTTATTATTTTTTAATTACAGAGTCCATTCTTCTTATTGCTAAGTCAGCCTGGATTGACTGGTGTATCGATGTTGATCATTATATTGTTGATGGGAATGACCTCTATGAGAGTAGTACGGAGAAATATTTACAACGCGTTCTGGTACACCCATCAGCTCTACATGCTGTTTATAGCTTTACTAATAGTTCATCCCCTAAGGTCAGTATCATGTTTTATTATAGAAATAAGATTACGTGGATCCTTTAAAGTTTAAAGAATAACGTTTAGACTATATTATTTGCAAGCCATCAGGTGGTGTATACTTTGAACGGCAACTATAAAAAAAGAATATATATTACTATTGGACACATATATTTTTATTTATAATTTATAGCATAAAATTACCCAAATAGATTTATTAATAATTTTTGGTTTCATTTCTTTTTCAGTGGTGTGTTAAAAGAAGAAATATTAGATGATGTCGAATCTAGTCCTATTACTAGTCATGAAGAAGGCTGGAGCAATAGCTCGTCAATAGATACTCATAAGTTTATTTCAATCAGATCAAAGGTTAGTTACTTTTAAATAATATTTGTGATAAAAATCTGGCAAATAATTTGATAGTTTCTACTATTAGATATCATTCATCAAACATTTCGTATTATAGGAAACTGTTATTAGTTTTCCTATATTTGCAATATTTTTACTCTGTTATAAATTTAAATATTAATTAATTTAAGTAGATATTATAATATAGAGTTTTAAAAATGTAAAGGTATGACAGCTGAAAATGTGCCCAGAACTCCATTATTCGAATGTTATTGGGTAAATTAATAATGATGTTATAATTAAAAAATTCATAATAAATAATAATATTGAAGGACTTTGTAAAAGTGTTTAATAAGTTCAAAAAGATCTCATTGTCTTCCTACCTTTATGGTAATTATTTATTTAGGTTCGGCTCGATATGTTTTTCATTTCCATTCTCCTCTATTCGCAGTCATTTCTGCATTCACTTCCATTCTATCCGTATTATTTTTTATACACTCCATGACGGACTGTGAAAATGTATGAAAATGTACATCCATATCTTTTTAAGGTTTTCTTTGCCCTTTTAATCATCCTTATTCAGACTTAATACATTTCTTAACGAAAACTTATTTAATTTATCTATTAACAAGAGTAGATGGCACGAAAAAGTTATTTACGTTGTTATTATTAAGTTATAAAGGAAGTAATTTGTCTGAATTTTATTACATTCTATCCGTTTAAAATTTCACGTACCTATCTACCAAGGCATTGATTTTTAGAAACAGCTGCATCCAAATAGTTCGGTTTTACGACTTGACGGACGCGCCCTATTTGTTAGTCTTTCAGATTTGGCCTTCTCTTGTATTCTGATTATAATGTATTTACATCATGGGAATGTTATTAATCAACAATGGGAGCTATCGGTAAACTAGCAAATTTAATTTATTTGCCTGCCATTCAAGATAATTCAAGGTTTACATGGATAGATTGATAGATATTTTAACAATGGAACTACGGTGCATTATTCGTATTTTAATCATAAATTGCCTGTGTACTTATCTATTATATATGCATACTTAATTATCGATTAAAAATACCGAACGATTCAGTCCTACCTTAATTTTTTATGCAACTTACAACGGCTGATAATATGAAGTTAATTAAAGAAACCTAGCGAATTTAATTATAATAAAATTGATATTGGACGAATACAGTAGTAATCACTATAGATTTCAAATATAAATCTACACTATTTTGGTTTTAAATAACTTTATAATAAATACATTTTTTTTGCATTATTTCTAGACTTGGACATGGATGGCGTTTCCGCTCGGATGCTTTTTGATCGATCTAGTTTGGAGGATATCGTCACGAAACCGTGCAAGAGTGCATATTCTAGAAGTAAGCTACATAAAGAACACAATTACTTTTAGTATTGGATCGTATATGATTATTTTCTAGTTTTTTTTTTAATAACTATGGTGACTAACAAGTATACAGCCCACCTGATAGCAGTTACCGTAGTCTATAAGCTCGTGCAATATATGAATAGGGGTACAGATAATGTAATACATAATATAATATAAATATAATTTAATTTATGTTAGTAAATCACCTTGTCTTGGTATTCTCTTATGGAATAACGTGATACAGGTTCGCCTAGTGCGAGGTCCAATGTACTCGCGTTGTAAATTTCTTGTATTTAATAAATGAATAAATAAATAGGGGCATTACGTGCGCGCTGCTGATTTTGCAGATACTTATTTGTCTTTATCCATTTTTTAAGAACCTCATGTTTTTAGTAAAACTTCACTTACTTATTGATAAAACGTTCAATTTCAGTATCCACCCTTGTTCATATTCAAGCTCAGGCTGTAGGTCAGTGATTCTCAACCACTGTGCCGCGGCACTTTTGTGTGCCGCGAAATTTAAAAGTGTGCCGCCAAACACAAATATTTAAAATTTTTGATTTTTAGTGTGTTGGTAAATAATATTTATCTTTTTCTTTGTGTGCCGCCAAATTTTAAAATCGTTTATTTTCAAAAAAAAAGGTTGAGAATTTTTTTATATAATATGAAGATGTTGTGGCTTCATGCTTAGTAGTTTCATTACTAACTTAACTTTCCCATCACCATCCTTTGAACTGAAACACGGCCGTAAAAGTATAAAAAAAACATGAGCAAGAAAGAGGTAACTCATAAAGACCTATGCAACTTTGTATAGGTATTCTCTGGTAGGTATTTCGTCATGTTCCTTTTAACTATTATGATCGTAACAACATTGATTTTTGATCGTTATTAAACTTTTATTACGTGTTAGGTAATCATTTTCGTTACTTGTAACTATTATTTAAAATATTAAGCACTGTTGTAGGATGTGGCCTTGTGGTTCCGGTATAAAATAGGCCGCCTTTTTCTTTCCCGAGGGTGTCGTAAGAGGCGACTAAGGGAGGGGGAGATATGGGCGGCAGCGTCGCTTTTAAAACATTTTCAAAGCCTAACTATGATTGCCAATCCGTCTGCTAAGCGCCTGGCAACTACTGGCATAATCCCTCAAGGGGGAGGCTTATGTTCAGCAGTGGACAGTAAAAGGCTAATATGATGATGATGATTGCAGAGTGTATTAGGATTATGCGGTCTCATCACAATCCTGTAAACTTAGTTTGTTAAAGGTTTTTTAGGCACGAAACACGTAAATTGATTTTAAAGACTTTTGGAGTGCAGTAGAAGGCACGTTTCTCTACGTCAATGAGGCCCCGAATTCGATTCTCGGTCGTGCTAATTTAGGATATGAATTATTCCGCATTTTGGGTATTCTGGGTGTGCCCTCAAGTGTTTACCGCTTGTTCTACATAACAAACAAATTATCATCGTCATATCAGCCATGTTCACTGCTGAATATAGGCCTTCTTCATTTTGCCAGTAGTTAACACGTTTGGCAGGTGGATTGATAACCGCAGTTAGGCTTTTGGTTAACACGAAAAGCCTAACTATTTTAAGAACGCTGTTGCCCACCCTCGACTATTAGGTTCATTTAGTCGCCTCTTATGACACACAAGGGACAGGAAAGGGCAGCCCGTTCTGTGCCAGGACCACATGGCAATTCAAATTAATTGTTTGTTAAGAAATAAAATAAAAATATATAATTTATTTTACCAGGTAACTCACATGCCGGGACGGACTCTAAGCTTGACATTGAGCTGTCCACACAGTCAGTTCATGTGTAGGATGGGACAGTACATTTTGCTTCAGTGTTTGGATATATCACTTTTAGAGTGGCATCCCTTTACTGTTGTGAAGGTAAAAACAGCAACTTATCTAAGATTTTTACTACTATCGGGTCAAATTATTATAGTACTACGTATTACTTATACTTATGGGATTGTTAGTATTGGAGACTAAATGTCCAATTGGTAGCAATATACCTTGTTAGATCGACTTCCACGCGGTTTTTTCTGGACACCACCGTGATTAATTCTTGTTGAATTTGGGGCTACCATTCTATTATCGCATAATAAAAAAAAAACTTATACTGTAGTGAAAAGTAACTAAGTATTTATAAAGCAAAAATATTTTTTATACAAATCAGAAATATTTTTATTTTTTTTAATTATTTGTTCTATAATTAAAGATTGTGTTCACAAAAAAAACCGAATTCAACTATGACAAAACCAGTTCTTTTGATAAAATTTCGGTTGACCAATCTGTAAGTATTTCCTTTTAGATAAAAAAGAATTTTACAAATCGGTATAGAATTGACAGAGTTATGAGGTAACAAATATTAAAATAAAATATTAAAAAGTACAACTGAATTGAGAACCCTTTTTTTCGAAGTCGGTTGAAAAGTGAGTCATTTGTAACACTTGTGTACTTACGTATATAATATGTTTAAAAATTATTCAGAGATTTTAAAAACCTTTCTTAGAAAACAATGTTTAGTTCTATGGTATTTGGTATATCTATTACTCTGTATATTGATGTTAATTTGCAGGTACCCACATCTAATTCAAGAAATTTCGTTGTATGGGTCCGAGTCAAAGGTGATTGGACGGAACATTTAGAGAGGCTATTATTGGAAAATGGCGCTAATAGATTAAGGTAAATATTATAGCTTTTTTGAATAAAGTTGTTTTTTATGAAATAAAACATTAAGAGCATTCTTTACTGTACTATTTTATATATCAAACATATTTTAGTCTTCATTCTATGTTAGTTTTCTTAGAAAATATGAAATGGCGGTCATAATCAGAAAATGTAATTTGTATGACAAATTATAGGAATATTATATAATTTTTTTTCAATGATTTAATTATTATATACAATATGTTTGCAGTTTTCTAGTGGATGGTGCGTTCTCAAGCCCGATGGAGGGCGCAGCCGCCGACGAAGTGGCGCTGTGCGTGGCCGCCGGTGTTGGCATCACACCATTTGTATCACTGTTGCATCACATGTTACTGTAATTATTTACAATTATATTATTGTGTAGGTATTTTTTGATATAACTTGCAATTTGCAGCAAACAAGCTTAGCCCATTTGATGATAAGTGGCTACCATCGCCTATACACACTAAGAACGCCATGAATATCATAAAATCTACTGTGATAGCTTGGTCATTAAGTAAGGATCGCCTATATTATAAAAAAAATTTACTACGAAAAATTACGGGTCTCGTTCAAAACACTCAGAAAATATTAACAAAGTGATATGTTTAACCAATATGTCAAGCCTTGTTCTTACATATTTATGTCTCCATATATCATTATAAGTTAGAGTATATGAGTATACTCCAAAACATATATTTAAAGTATCTGTACAGGGTTGTTCAGATAGACTATTTACAATTTTAGGAAGCCAAGAACCAAATTACCGGGCAGAATACATTTGTTATGGATTGTTCGAACTGAGGAAGAAATTACATGGCTCGCTGATTTAGCAAATGACACTATATTGCAACTGAGAGACGCTAACCGACCTGACAGATTACATATAGAATTTTATGTAACAGGCACAAAAGGAAATGATATCAAAGCATTTAAAGGTAAAGAAGAATGTTCTGCAACTCATATGGTAGTTATTAATGAAAAAGGCAAAATAACTCATGCATTATCTAATAATGAGAAAAGTATGACGGATGACGAAAAAGCAAGTCTTCTAACACCAAATAGAAGAAGACATGCTTGTACTGATGATGAAAAACGGAATAATTTAAACCATATGAAATACTATGAAATCGCAAAAGAATATCCTTTATTGGGATGCAGATTGAAAAGAGGTAGACCACATTGGGATCGCGTATTTGGATATTGGGTGCATTTATATCCCCAGTAAGTAACCTGACGTGATTTTGAATGTATTCTTGAATTAATTTTATTAAATTCAAATACTTGGATCGTTTTTATATAGTTTGTTTGTAATACAAGCAAAAGTTATATTTGTAATAACTATTTAAATTTTAGATATCTTGTGTTTTAGAGTTTTTGTTTTTAGGATATATTATGTTGTTATTTTTTATAAAACTTGTTGCTTTATTTTCAGCAAACGACTGAATTTATATTGTTGTGGGACAAAAAAATTAGTGAAATCATTGAAAAATAAATGTAAATATATTACTAGTAATACAAAAACCAAAATCACGATAGTTCATGAAAGATTTTCTTAATAAATAAATGTATTTGTATTCTTTTTATTACAATACAGTGTGTTGATTGAAGTTTATTGAAGTTTTATTTTGGTTATTGTCATTGATGACAATGTAATCAATGTTCCAATTACCTTGAACAATAAATTGATTTACCTTGAATTGAAGTCATTATCTGTTAGTTAGTTATTGAAACTTTGCTACTAAATTGAGAATGCCATTATTTGCAAAGTTACAATTGATGGTTCAGGGAGTGGCATTTACTATAATTTTGAAATCATTGGTTTCATACGTCCTTAACTACGAGTACCTAGTAATTTTCTTTAATATGATTTTCTAAGATTATAAAAGTCAAGGCGAATGTTTGATGAGGCTGAGTTCACCGATAGTGAATATAAGGAAAAGTTCTATTGTTCGAAATAATGTTAAGAAAGTCAGACGATTACGTTTCACCCGGAAAGGATTACTTCGCTTTAAATTTAAAATTTCTCTTTTTAGTTGGATTATGGCCGAATGATAGATGGTCGAAGACACAAGCAACTGCGTATAGTATCTATCAAAAAACTCTTCATGTATTACCAATTATATACCTTATAATTACCATTATTGGTACTTATCAGCATGCAGGTGTATTAGAGAAGTTCTTAGAAAACTTGGACAAAAATGTTGTAGCTTTGAATTTCACTATTAAATATATGCTTTTTACAATAAAACATAAGGAGATTTCGATGTTAATCACTGAGATAATGCATTCCGGTGATAAGATTTCTAAACAATGTAATCGGCTTATGTCTGTTCATGTTGTAGCTATTACAGGATTAACTTTTCTCGTGGTTGGGGCATTTAGTGGGGCAGCTTTGTTGAATAGGGAAATGGTAGTAGAGGCTTGGCTGCCATTTGATCCCACGAAAAATATGAAGAATTTACTACTGTTTGCTCAGATTGCAGCGATAACATTCACACCTTGCACGATTCGAGGAAATGCCATGCAGGGATTTGTGTGTAGTTTGATAATGTATTTATGTGAACAGTTAATAGAATTACAGCATAGACTTCGTGCATTGACCTATTTGCCAGGGAATGATGATGAGCTTAAATATCAATTTAAAGAAATTATAAAAAAGCACGTGCGTATAATGCGGTAATTGACGTTTCTGCGTATACCTAATAATAAGTGACAAATAGAAGAGATAGAGTTTTGATAATGATTTCTAATGGTTCCAGATACTCAAAGTCAATGAAAAGCATTTTTAAGGAATATTTGTTTGTACAAAATTTTGCAATAACTGTGGAATTGTGTTTAAACGCTGTGATGATTACTGTGGTAATTTTTTTGTTTAATATTAGATATAAATTCGTAGCGTTAATGAAATATTAATACAACGAATGGACAGCGCCTTAAAAACCACATTTTTTTATACACAATATTAAGTGTATAAAAAAATTAAATGATTAAATAATAATTTTTTTGAAAGATAAAAATCGTATTAAAATCCGGTGCGTAGTTTAAAAGATCTAGTCGTATAAACGGCGAGAAAGCGACTTTGTTGTTAAATGAAAAAAAAAAGAAAGATGTTCTCATACCCATAACTGTGTCAGTTTTAAACCGATTTGGATTTTTTTTTTTTATTTGAAAAGATTGAACCCATAGAAATTTTATCGGTTCAATAGTTTAATTTTTAAACTAAAATAATTGATTTTGTCACAATATATATTTTTTATGGGCCACAATTTTTAAGGGTATTAAAAAGTGAGTAGTTATGAAAAGGTATCTAATTTGTTAGGGACAATGGTAGTCGTGCACTATCCACATATCAATATGTGGATCAAAATGCAATAAAAAAGTTATTAGTAATTTTAGATCCCTTTAATGATGGATTAGAGAGAAAAAAAATATATATTCCTGAAACTGAAATCAGATTATGATATGAAATCAGACTATGGATTCAAGTGAATCGAGGTCTAGTCTCCACGTATTTGTTTTTACGGGTAGTAAGTATTTTTTATTTGAATATAATAAGTACGCAAAAATATATTTATACTCCTCTTGGACGAGGCTATCCATAGTTAGTCCATAAACTTAGATCTCATTTAATATAGATACGTATAGGTTATGAAAATTATTTCCAGATAAGATTTGAAGACAAGAAGTTGCTGGTTGGGTTTTTTGCTTTTTTGTGTATGGCTTTATTGAATGCATACATATATTGCTATTTGGGTAATGAATTAATGAGTCAAGTAAGTACTATATGATATATACTTTAGTATAAATATTAAGGAAATTATTTAAAAATATCAAAAAAAAAAAAAAATGGCAAAGGTACCATAGACACGCGTAAATGTGTTTTTATTATACCACTGACGTAGCAAACAAGCATACGGCCCTCCTGATGGTAATCAGTTACCGTAGCCTATGAGGCCTACAATACCAGGTGCGCGTTGCGCACCCTGAAGAAACCTCTTTACCCTTTTTTGAAGAACCCCGTGCTGAAGTCTCTTGGAAAAAACTCGATAGCGCACTCATTCCATAATCTAAGCGTTCGTGGGAGGAAACATTTTTAAAACAGCGCTGAGCATTATTTTGAATAATTCTTTTAAGCAAGTACAAATGTACTTGTGAATTCTCCGTTGTACAAGTGGCAAAACAAGCAGAGGCAAAATCTCTCCTAAGACTTAAGTGAATGGAGTTCTGTAACTAGTATAATTTACCCACTTAAGTTGAATGAAATGTACTGAATTTCATTCAAATCCATTCAGTAGTTTTTGCGTGAAATAGTAACAAACATCTATCTATCCATCCATCTCATTACAAACTTTCGCATTTACTATGTTAATAAAATATTGTACAATTTTGTTAGATTTATTGAATTTCATGAAGATCGGCTTTTAGCTACAAAAGTTATGAATTATGATGATACATAGATCAATAGATATCTGCGACAAACTATAGGTAGGTATATGTATTTTAGATAGCATGAAATTGTCTGCTTTTTATTTATAACTTTATTATTTATAACTGCCTTCTTTTATGTTGGTGAATATAAAACTGTTCTAGAAATAGTCTTGTAGGAATAATTCTCTTTCAAAATTCTCAGAGCGAAGGTATAGCACTGGCGGCATACGACGCATCGTGGACTTCTTGGCCGATAGGCTTACAAAAGGATCTATTGACCGTTATAAGAACAGCACAGAAACCTCTCTCTCTAAGTGCTGGAGGCATAGCTAATTTGTCAATGCACACATTTGGTCAGGTAATTGGGTATCATTTAAACACATATAGTTTTCTTATAGTCCTCGGTCGGAGACCATGCTGCTTAAACCTTTTTTTTTGTTTGTCATGCATTTTTTTTTATTTTTTTTTATCTGCTCTCTTTATTTAATATGCGCGTTTTTCTATGGAAATTTTAATGTTTTATATTACTGCTATATTAATTATTTATATTTTTTAGTAACTGTAAAGAAATAAAATAAAAAATCAGTGATCTACTCCTATGTTACTGCATGATCTTCTGTACATTTTACGTGTATTTTTGTATTCTAGACAAATTTTGTTTTTACAAGTGATCTTGGAATTAATAAGAATTAAGTGTATGATACTACCCATTTGTATTGGTATGGGTGTTTTTCTACATTTATTTACATATAAATATTAAGTATCAGTATCAGTTGTTTAATGTCCATAGTACATATAAGTAAATTACGAATATATGACTCCTAACTTTTCGTAAAATGTCACAACTTAATTTTTTTTCAGGCGCTGTACAATGCTTACTCTATTTTCGCAGTCCTAAACGATGTAGTTGATTGAAGAATATGTTTATTTTTGAAATAGATTAGTTCCATGATAAAATGTATAATACTTTATTAAGTATAGTAGGCTTCAATATTATATGTAGGTAACTATATCTACATCACAAATAATGCAATAATGGCAATGCTAATTAGATTAAAGCACAACTTTTTCTTGTAGAAGTAAAGCTTTTTTATAATTTTAATAAAATTAAATCTGTATACCCTGTTTTTCAGCAAATATATTATTATTATTAAATATATTTGGTTAAAGATTTTTTTTATTTTTCTGCATTTAGGAAATTTTTTAAAATAAGAATACTTATACATTTATTATGAATGGTTTTATTTAAAATTTTACAGAAGTACACATCAATAATATATAACATTTGCTTAATTAGTTCGCCCATTGTGACGAATACACCTGAAATTCAGCACAATGGTTTCCAGGGAGACCACGTGGAGGTCGACCTGACAGGGTATAATGTTAGTAATGGGGCTATTTGACCTCCATTACTAACAATCCCTTCCCCACCCACTGGTACCTCGCCAGTGTATACCGATAGCGCGGACGGGTTTACCATACCATTATCACCCATTAAAAAAAAACTGTCCACTGCTGAACTGCTTTCCCCATAATGGGTGCTAGCAGCTGCTACGTTTGGTAGGTACTGATTGGTACAATAAATAGAGACACATATTTATAAAATTAGTAAGAATAAAAAAAAATTACAAAAAACGAAAATGAAGAAACGTCTAGTTATCTCGATTGACGTTTCTTTCTTCAGAGGTTGTATGTCATGCAACATATGATTGAATGACATATTGATTGATGTAACGTTTTAAGTCTTAAAAATTGTAATCTTTCAAATCAATTGCAAATAAAGCAAATCTATTTATTAAATTAATCGATCTTACGTCCTGCCCATTATTACTATGAAAATGAACATAAAAACCGATATCAATAGTCCAGAAACTTTCCAAAAACTGTTCACAAAATTAGAAAATCCCGATGTCATCTACCAGAACTATGTGAAGAAGCTTGCCAAATACCATTTTCAAGTTAAAGCTATTATTCAGGTGAGTTTTTGTGCTACATAAATACAGACAAAGTGGAATAGTTGAAGGCAAAGGTATAATACTATTACAGCTTTAAAATTTGCTGTGGCATATCTTTTGTGGATAATTTCCGACATAGTTTTATCTAGCTTAAAAAACCAATTTTGATTCTTGTACTATATTTTTAAGAAGTCACAACACAATTGAATTATTGAAATTGTTTTACTTGAGGTTTGTTTGAACTAAGCATTTTTCCTGTTTTTCTAATTTGATTGTATGTATGTATGTATGTTTTATGACTGAATAAGGTATGTTTTCCTGTTTCTAATTTGATTGTTATTAAGTGAACTTATTAGATAAATACCTGTTATAAAAGAAATATATATAATATGCCAGGTATAAAAAAAATAATGTATAATCTCTTATAAGTGATTACTATAACATTTAGCAGGTTATTCTTTAATTAATGATTGGATAATTTAGAAGCAAAATAAAGTAGACTGATGCATTTAATTAAAAATAAATTTAATAAATTTTGTAGGATATTCTAGAATGTAGAGAATCAATGGAAGCACTAAATGAGCTCAATGAGAAAGGTAGGGCAATGATCACACAGCTGAGGGAAGAACTAGAAAGCCTTGAGTTACATGGTAAAGACACTGGAGATCCCAAATATGCCGTAGAGCTGGAATCTCAACGGCACCAGTTGGCTGGGTGAGGATTTTAAGAATATTTTCATTACTTAGATTTATACTCATTAACATCTCACCATTGGGCGCAGATTCCATTCTTTAAGAGGGAGATATTTCTTTAGGTGGCATGGTATTTAGTAGTGTTATATTTTAATTTAGCTTTTTACCTACAACTTTGTTTACATGGCTAGGATATGTTCACTAATCCTAATAAAAAATCCTTTTCCATCACAAATAGTATGTATATACCAAATTTCATAATCATTAGTTAAATCATTAAGAAATCAAGAAGTAACAAACAGTATAATACAGAAATACTATAAATGTCAATATGACTTTGTCTATTGTCTTTTGGGATATTATATTTATAAATCACAACTATTCAAAAACTTATCTCCATACCCTTTGTACTATGCCCTTATAAAAATTTTATTTTTATAGGTCTAGAGATATATCAGTATATGTGATTATAGTTTTTTAAAAGAAAAAAGTGTTGCTTGAAAAGTGTTGCTTAAAAAAGTGTAACTTAGTGTGTTCTAAGTATGTTTTTGTTTTCAGATTATTAAAGGAATTTAAAGATGCCAACATCAGCACAATGTTTGCTATAGAGAAAGCCCAGAGAGAAGAGTTGCTGAAGCCTACAGATACAGAAGAGTCTGCCGTTAGAAATAGAAAGAAGACAGTTGACAGAGATGGACTGCTAAAAATGTCTACAGGTAATATTATATATCTATTTTAATTTTATAATAGAAGTTTAAATAATAAATATATTGAAATATTTTATTTTGCCTTAGAATGCTGGTAAATTAGTTTCACGTTGTAATATGCTTAGTATAGGAGTACTAGGTAGATTTAATATCACAAATGTGACCATTATGTATATGATAGTTTATAATATTGGCTTCTTCCAACAAATGTTTTTTTTAAAGAAAAAATCTTATTTGTTTTATTTTAAGCATTCTTATAGATTATTTTATTTCTTCTAATCAAATTTTCTCTATACATATTAACTGTTATCGAGGATATCCTTTCCTGAAATCTTTTAATGTCTCATACTTGTTTTAATAAAATTCTCCCAGTAGTTTTTATGTGATTTGCACACATTAATTGACAGGTCTAAGTGAATGAGGATATATCCTGAGGTCATTGGGTAAATGCTTTTGTTTTTAATAGATGAAAATGGATTGGAAAATCAATAGTGAGGGATAATATATATAAATATATAGAATAAAGTCAGGCCAGTCTATTGGTAGTATATAATTTCAGCAGGAATGAACCACAATGGTTTCCGTAGGGGACTGCTTGGAGGTCAACCTGACTATTCTCTCCATCAGAAAATTTAGATAGAATAAAAATTTATTGTTTCACAGTAATTATCATGTGTAATTTTGTTTCAAGCTGCTTTTAAAGTGTCAGGTAATACTTTAAGTATACTTTACTTACATATTTTTCTCTAAGTATATAGATACTATAATAAAATCGTAAAACAAATAAGTTAGATTTTTTACAACAGTCGGCAAAATTCAGCAAGTTTAGAGACAAGCGAGATAGTGTTATGCTGGGTATGCAGTTTGTCATTTATAGTAGTAAAAAGTGAACATATTGCTGTTGACCACTCTATCAGAGAATACAGTTGTAAGAATATTTGTTTGAAATTAATAAGTAATTTTTTATATTAGATATGATATATTTTCTGTGTACTAACTTGATATATTTTATAGGAGTGACAGAACAATTACTGTCTATAAGTCGACAACTAGCTGACACAACCCAGAGGAGCCAAGACACATTGGACAGCTTAGTTTCCTCAAGTTCAACTGTACATGTATGTATGAATATCCTATTAATATAATTAATGTGAAATTTTGTAAGGATGGATGGATAACAGGATGTTTCTTTTTCACACAGAAACTCCTAAATAGCTAGTCATAAATAATTTTATTTTTTCGACTGCTGTTTTTTATTAGAATATCTAATTTGATTCCAGGGAACGCAAGCAGAGCTTCGAAACACAGCAAGCACGATATCACAGTCGAGTAAATTATTAACTAAATATGGCCGCCGGGAATTTACAGATAAAATAATTATGTTCTTTGCATTCCTCTTCTTTTTAGCTGTTTGTCTTTATATTGTTCAAAAAAGACTATTTTAATGACACGTAAATAATTGATTTATATTTCTATTTATTTTATATTTATTGTTGATTAAATTATTTTTTTAAACTTTATTTATTTTTTACTTTGACGACCTTTCGATGGCGAGGTAACTTAGCAATAGATTGCTTTGCCTAAATTAGGTTCTGACTAGTAAAATCTGAGTTTTGTATGGGCTTCATACATTTGTTGTATGAATTTCTATAATATTATATGATCAAAGTTGGTTGAGAATTGGCGAGGATATTTATCGCTTCGCCGCTTAAAAAGAAACTGGATACCGCGTCGCTTTTCCTTGACGACTTCCTGTAATCATAGAGTAAAAAATATTATATTATTTTTATCTATGCTTTGAATATTAAACATGACAACGTGTAATTACTTCCTAAGTTCACAAATAAGAATTCGAGGTGGAAAAAAAATTTATGTAATGAACATAATAAGTTATAAAAAGTTCGACTACGAAAATAGTGCTTAAAAAAAGAAATTATAAGGCTTCTATTTTTTTTCTGTAGCTACAGAGCCCAATATAAGATCCGTGATAGTTGACTAATAGGTGCTTATAAAGTACTTCTGGGTTCCGTATTAAAATAGTTTAAGAGAACATTTATTGTGTTGGTGCGATCATCAGTCAGACTCCGTCCGTCCGTGCACCCGTTTGTCACAGCGCTATATCTCGGCTACTACTAATATAATTTATTTAAAATTTGGAATAGTCTTAGACAAGGCACTCTCTTCTGAGAGGTTTTAGATATTATTGGTTCCCAAATTCCAATGCAAATAAATATTTAAACATTATTTTTATTAGTTTTTGTTAGATAGCCCAAATACACATTCCAAAACTATTTCTTTAAATGCATTGCAGTCTTTGTCTTATCATAGAAAATATAAAAAAATGAAATTCTCCTTCTTTATTTTAAAAATCTTAAACGATTACAATTTCGAAATACCATAGATTTAGAAAAAATATTAAAAAAATATAACCTTAACAAACTTAACATTGATAATTATTATTAGATGTCTATATCATATAAAAATTATCTTATATCTACATGTCCAAAAGATTATTCTACGTACGGAACCTTTGACGTGTGAGTTCAATTCACATTGAACCGGTTTTTTACTATCGTTACTAGGCAGTCGGTCGGGTTCAGCGATCGGCCGGTTAACTCTGCGCCGAGTGCTTTAACCAACACGGAGTTATAAATACGTGTGTACCGTTGAGTTAGTGAACTGACCGCCTCAAATGCATAAATACGTGTTCCTGATTTTTATTTTAAATACCTTACAAAATGTGTTTACTTTTAATATTCTTTGTATCATATCAGCGCCTTTAAGAAGCCACTATATGGCGTTCCAACCACTGTTTCGGGAACTCTCCAAGAGAGGACACAATGTGACAATAATGAATCACTTCCCCGATAAAGAACCCTTGACTAATTTAAAGTTTATTAACCTACAAGATGGTGAGATAAACGTTCATTTTAATAGTATGGAGTACTATGAAAATTCTTATACATCTTTCATACATATTATAAATTTCTTGAGGCACGTTACTATTCCAACGAATGGACCTGTAGAGGAGGAATGCAAAAATCTCTTTAACCATAAAAATATGATAGCGCATCGCGCAGAAGGCGTTAAATACGATCTAATATTTGTGGAACAGTTTCTTAGTGACTGCGCTTTGTTATACGCCGGTGTAATGTATGACTCTCCCATTATTGGTATTACTTCTCACGTTCTTCTGCCGTGGGCTTACAATAGACTGGGTATTCCGTTTGATATTGCTTCAGACTCGTTTTACTTCTCACCATCAGGTCCTAACCCGTCTCTCTTAGCTAAAGTGCAATCAACTTTGGGACTTTTATATTTGAACAATTACGGTCGTTGGCAAATACACAAGTGTATATACAAAGTGTTTTCTGAATATTATTCAGAGAATTTATTAGATATAGAATATGTGGCGAAGGAAAGAATGAAGATGGTGTTTTCATACCAACATTTCTCTGTAACCGGAGCTCGTCTTTTGGCGCCTCAAGTCTTAGAAATAGGAGGAGTACACATTGGTCAAGCAAAACCAGTTCCAAAGGTGAGTTAATTTGTTTATTTACAGAAATTTAGCTATATGTTTATTTAATAAATCTGTATGTGTCAATACTATGTTTAGAGTAGTTGTTAGTCTGTTATCTTTGGTAATATATAGTACATTATCTAGGGAAGATTCATGTTGTCATAATCAAATAGACTGTCCCATATTTACCGTTTGATGTGTCAAAAAAAAACCGACTTCAATTACGACAAAACTAATTATTTTGATTTAAAAACTACACTACTGACCCGATTTTGATAAATCAATTTGATCAATTTGTAAGAATATATTATTTTGATATAAAATAATTTTCCGGTTTATAACTGATGGAGTTATGAAATAACAAATATATAAAAAATACAACTGAACTGAGAATGTCTCTGTTATGTCCATGGTACTGCTCATGTTTATAGACGACGGTTACCATTTTCCATCAGGTGGGCCGTCAGCTTGTTTGCCATTCTATGTTGTATAAAAAAAAAGACATGACTGATGATACAAACTCGGTCATGTACGAGGAAAACATTGATGATTGTGAATATACTCATAGCATGCAACCACCTGTTATAGCTATTATTAAGAACTACACTACCTTAGGTATGGGAAATACACCACATTTTTACATAATTATTATAACTATTGCAGGATTTAGAAGAATTTTTATCAAATGCTGAGCACGGTGTTATATACTTCAGTTTCGGGTCTAACCTTAAAGTGAGCACCATGTCAGAGCAGAAGTTGCAACAGTTCTTACAAGCATTTAAAAGGATACCGCAGAAAATACTCTGGAAATGGGAAGACAACAGGTTTCCAAAGGGTTACGACAATGTGTATACCCGAAAATGGTTCCCACAATTGGATGTTTTGTGTATGTTTAATTTTATTTTTAAGTTATTATCAGAAACTATAATAGCGAGATTAATGTAGATTAACACTTCAATGGACTGGCCATGTAGTTCGAGCAACCGTTAACCAACGGAGCAGAGAGACTGTATTAGTTCGTATTGCCTTTATCATCATTACACCCTTTCCATTGTTGTTCACATCAAGCAGGTATGATATTAATTTCACAAATATAGTAATTATATAAGGCAAAATGAAAGGTGACCTATTTTCTGCAGTATTTTCTATATTTGTAGACGTTGGCAAGGTCTAGGCAGACGTCAGCCGGGCAAATTCTTAGAGCGACAAAATATATTCACTGCGTGTTAACATGGTAATTTTTGCTTGCTACGGTAAAATATCTAGATCTAGGCACTGTTGAAAGTAATCTCGTGGGATTAATTTACATTACAAAAGTACGTTTGTAAAATCTATAATATCATATAATGCCTACATATTTCTCGGTTTGCTTTATGGTTGACTGGTAGAGAACACCGTCCGGTGTTCGGTGTTAAGTCCGCCAAATGTACCTAGAATTTTATTGTGCATTAAAGTTTAAATAAATAAATATCAGTGATATTCTGTTACAGGGACAGTTTCGTACTCCATAAATTACTGCTAAACAGTTTTTTTTTTAATTAATATGCAATTTGAAGTTATCGGGGCTGATGTAAATTTTTGCACTTCAAGGAAACATTTTGTTTGCTTCCTTTGATAATAATGATAATAACACCTGACGAGTATTGTACATTGACGATGAGCAGAAAAGCGTGACGCGAGTGCCCGCGGGACAGGTGAAGTGGTTTTATGCCCCTACTCTCCCTGTTTTAAATAGCAGGATGCAGTAATAAAACATATATGTATTTGTGATATAAAATAATAAGTTTAGTGAAAAAAAAAATACGAGACATGTCTTATAAAAATCTGACATAGAACAAATTTAAAAATAATAAATTGTTCTAAAAAACCTCGGTGACAACAGCCAGTATTAAAACTCCAACACTCCTACCATCTAGATCGGGCCCTGGATTTTTCTCACACGTCACGACACACTATTTACTATAATCACAGCTAATATTGTACACTACTACCCGTATCTTACGGTTCCGCTTACGCGGGCTTTATGTAAAAATGTTTATAATAAAATTATTAAATATTCTGATAGATGCATATTAGTGCAACTTGCCACACACAACTATTGTAAATCGATCCTAATTATAGTTAATTATAACCGTTATATACATAAGTGCAGTATTAAATTGTCATTAGCAATAGATTTGGATTGAGATCGATGTTGGATTCAAGAGTTATCCTACTGTTTGTTTGTTTGTTTATTGATTATTATTATTAATTTTTAATTTAGATTTTAATTGAACTGAATTTAATTTAATTGCTTTCTATTTGTATAAATTTTGTTTGTTTGTTTTGGTTTGGTTTCTTTTCTTCTTGTTTTATGCGCTACTGTGTGGGCCGTATGCTTCTTCGATTAAATTATTTCTTTCTTTCTTTCTTATTAAGTTTAATATTTGTTCATCATCATCATCAGCCGTTTACTGTCTACTCCTGAACAAAGGCAAACGGGTGGTTTTCTTGTAATTGCCAAGCTTGGCAGGCAGATTAGCAATCGCAGTTAGGCTTTGGTGATTATTTTATGAGGGACGCTGCTGCCTATCTCTTGACCATTAAGCTCCCTTAGTCGCCTCTTACCACATCCACGGGAATGGAAGGGGTGGCCTATTCTATATCGGGACCACACGGACACGCCAATTAATAATTAATATTTATTAGAAAGGTTAAATTACAATAAACAATAAAGTTTACGATTATTATTTACTAACTGTTTCCCTCGCCTTTGTTCGCATGCATCAGTATATAAAGTATCCTATATACTACTTGTAAGTTAAGATGTAACATGTGAACTATCCGTATACTAAATTTCATCCAAATCCGTTTGGTAGTTTTTGCATGAAAGAATAACAAATATTCATCAACAAAAAGGCTGGCAACGCACAAGCAAGTCCTCTTATGTTGCAGGTGTTTACGGGAGACGGCAACCGCTTTTCATCAGATGTCTGCTCGTGTGGCTCCCTAACAATAAAAAAAATCAATAATCTATACTTACAAACTTTCACATTTATAATATTATTAGAATACTGCATATTATTTATTATACTTATTTGTATATTATATTATATATTTATTTGTAATATTTAAGGTCATCCAAAAGTTGTCGCCTTTATCTCTCACGGCGGAATGCTGAGTCTATCAGAGGCTGCTCATTGTGGGAAGCCGATGCTGGCCGTTCCCTTCTTCGGAGATCAGTTTACTAACGCTGCTGCAATCACACATATTGGACTGGGCAAAACGATACTGTTTGAACGCATTAACACTGAAAACTTGGTTGCAGCTCTAAAGGAATTAACTGCTCCCGAGTAAGTATTTATTTATTGTAAAATAAAGTCAATCACTCTGTTTTTTTTAGTGGATTATAATGGAATTTTGACTGCGCATGCGTTAACAGTATATCGTGCCTGCTATCTGGTGCTCCGGTGCCTGATGCACCCGGCATATACGCTGGCGGGGCTTCAGTGAGGAATGATAGGTGAAAATGAATAGGTATATTAAAGCACCATGATGCATACAAGTGGAATTCAGCTCAATGGTATTCAGGGGGATCATGGAGGTCGAAGGGTTTTTTTATACAACTTAGAATGGCAAACAAGCTGACGGCCCACCTGATGGAAAGTGGTAACCGTCGCCTATAGACATGAGCAGTACCAAGGACATAACAGAGTATACTGTTTCGCCCATGATACCTCCCATGCATTGCCATTCCTGAGGACTTAAGTGTTATTCCTCTGTACCCAGTAAATTCACGTCATATCCCACCCTTCAAACCGAAACACAGCCATGCGAACACAGCTGCTTCACGTTTGAAACACGAATGGGACAGAGGTACTCAAGCAATCAACTTTTGTACAAAGTCTCTCTCTGGTATATTGCTAGCAATGAGGCTGGTACTCCGGATAATAATTCCTTCCTCACCAATCCCTTCGCTTATGTCCCAATGCCTTTTTTATGGAGATGAGAATGGAATAGTAATCTCGCCTGCACCATTGTTTAACGTAGGCGGAGTACCAGTGAGGATGAAGTCTATAGTTGGTTTATCGATATCGATCTAAACACGATGGTTTTCAGGGGGATTGCAAGGAGGTCGCAATGAAAGTTTTAATGCCTCCTTCTTTCTTCTTAACAATTTCTCCCTGGCTTGTTAGTTAAAGGGACCATCAGACCAATTATTAGTAATATGTGTATATCTTTTTTTAATAGGTGAGAATGAAACTGTAATCCTGCCTGCGCTATCGGTATGGGCTGGCGGGGCACCAGGGAAAGATGAGGTGGGGATGAAAGCAGGTCAGCTGGCCCCTTGTGATGAATTGTATAATAATCACGATGGTTTCCAGGGGAAACCGCGTGGAGGTCGATCTAATAGCGTATATTGCTTGTAATGGAACTGTTACATTCTATTAACAATGCCTTTCCCCTCTATGTGTATGTGTCAGGTCGACCTTCTCGAGCTTCTCCCTCGAAAACATCTCGGTTGATTTACGTTGAGTTCAGCTGAGAGAATGAGCCAACTAGCCTGACTTTATCCTTACTTATTATCCCTCACTGATATCCCGTCAGCATAAACCGATAGCGCAGGCGGGGTTACAATACCATTATCATCCATGAAAAAAAAAACAATCCGATCTCCTTCGGTCCTTCGAGGAGGTTGCAGTTTTTTGTTGTTTTTTTTCGGGAGCAACCTATGTGTCCATTTTGATTTTTTAATTTATACTACTAGCTGTAACCCGTGTCTTTGCCTCTGTGAATTAAGATAAAAATAGCCTGTGTGATAATCCAGATCACATGTAGTATCGCAGCATATTGTTAGAAGTATAATTTGTTTTTGTAGGATGCAAGAAAATGCACGAAATATATCAAAACGGTGGCACGATCGGCCGCAAAGCGTTATGGACAGCGCCATCTACTGGACAGAGTATGTAGCTCGCCACCGCACCGGACCACCTTCATTACCATCAAAACAAAATACATGGTTCGAGAGTACGTTGATAGATGTCTATTGTGTACTTATGTTATTATTTTTAGTAATTATTTGGCTGTGTTACAGTATTGTTAGAATAATAAAAATGTTTATAATAAAATTATTAAGTTTAATATTTGTTAGAAAATTTAAAATACAATAAACAATTGATAAAGTTTTACAATTATAATTTATTGTCTGTTTCCCGTGGCGTTGCCTGCGTAAGTTATTGTATAAAGTATCCTGTGTTAAGTTGGGATATAATTTAACCGTGTGTCAAATTTCATTCACATCTGTTTATTTATTTATTCATAGGAAAACCAACAGCATATTGCATTATAAGATCTGTTCAGCCGTTTGACCGTGATTATTAATATCTTTATAAATATCTTCCAAATATCTTTATAAATTTCACATTTATAATATTAGTATGATTTTTACTTCATTACCAGTTGGTACAATAAAATCTAATATTATTCTTAAACATATCTATTCCACTGTTAAATAATTGAATTGAAAATTCTTATACAATTAAATAAATAAAAATATGTGTAGTACAAATGCGAAAGAGTTGATATGTTTTTCTTTATTATAATTATAGATATCTAATGGCTGACAAATTTGAAATGAAAATGCCTGTCTGTTTATATTTTCGTTAAGACCTACTGAAACTGACAGTATGTCTTTGATGATTTTACTAAGAAGAACATAAAAAAACAAATCTGCGCATGCTAGATAAGAAGGGTCAAGTTAACTACAAAGTCATGGTAAAAGTCTCTATCAGACATCCTAAAGGTTGATTGAAACGTTTATAGCATTAAGTCCGCCTTTTGTACCACATTTTATTGGTCAATAAAGTTTAAGTAAATGTTAAAATTCCAGAATCTAATGCATCGAAAGACTAGCCATCCGCTCCGGCTTCGCACGGGTGTATAGAAAGTAATACAATTATAGGCTATGTTATTCATTGGCTTGGCATTGTAGCTTACATAAGGCGAAAAATTTTTTAAAATCGATTAAGTAGTTCATTATTTTATTTGATTTTTGCTATACCATCGAGTCATAATTTTAATGCAGAGTCTAGCGTGCAATTTTTGTCAAGATGTTGATAGAATGTTTAGGGAAGTTCGTCCCTTTTTTAAAATAAATAGCAATTTTGTTTTTGGTACCTACCTACATGTGTGAATAATCGAATGAGTCAGTTGATATCACAAATCGTCTGGCCTCAACCTCCCGGCATTGAATTCCATTAACGATGATATTTGTCACACGTTCTGAGGTCGCGTGATTAGGTTTGGATTCGGCGCTTAATAGCTTTAAGGCCGTTTTACGAGACTGATAGGAAAATGCGTTTGGCAATGGCAAATATAACTATAGCAACTTCCACTACCGCGTTCTTTGATCGCGAGCAATTAGAGGGGTGGCAAGTTCTAGAATTCGCTTCTCAAGGTATAAAATCGAAATCATTAGTGTTATTTTAACAGGCAGAGTTCTATCAGTGAAATAACGTCATTCCAACTTGATTGTAAGACAAGAAAATGTGCTGTCCCATTTGACAAATATCATCTAGAGTGCTTTCAAATATGTTGATTTTTCTGAGTAAGCAAACATTTGGAAAGTTATCCACTTTCCAAATGATTCTTTCCTTAAATATTAGAATTAAGTCTTACTAAGAATAGGTAAGGAAACGAGTATTAAAAAGAAATAACTACAGGCCTAATAAATCTCTAAAGTATTCGGCTCTAAATATTATCTATTGTTTATAAAATAGATTTCTTTTCCTCCATAATAATGATTATATCTACCTATAGTAGGTACGTTTTAAAAGAACTTTATGAAAATGTAAATAAACAAAGACTTGACCCGACCATAGACTGCAGATGTCTAATGGTAGCACAAATAAAATATCAATAGATTTTGAGGGTTTTTGTGACGACTTTAATAAAACTTGGTTATCTTAATATATCTACATCAACCGTTATCTGTCCACTGCTGAACACAGGCCTCTTCCATAAATTGGTGGGTTTGTCAATAGTTACCACGCTTGGCAGGCGTGTTAGGCTTTTGGTGATGTTTTAAGAAAGACTCTGCTGTCCATCCTTCGACCATTAAGTTTTCTTAGTCGCCTTATACTACATCTACGGGAAAGAAAGGGGCGACCCATTCTATACCGGGACCACACGGCGAATAGGGGGAAAAGGGATTGTTAGTAATGGAGACTGAGAATCCCATTGCTAGCAATATACCCAACCAGGTCGACCTTTTCGCGGTTCTCCCTGGAAACTATGATGGTTAATTCCTGATGAAATTATGATAACTGGCCTGTTTTCATTCTAATCTATCACCCTTCACTGGTGCTCCGCCAGCGTATCCCGTTAGCGCAGGCGGGTTACCATACCATTTTCACCCATCAAAAAAAAAACACACGGCGAATAACAGGCTATACCTACTTATAATTCTCAAAGTCACCGTCATTATTTTAAATATGCTAACCTATTTGCGTAAATTTTAAAGCCATTTAGATTATCGCATTGGTTCCTCGGTTCCTTCCTGGATGCACGCAGCTATCCCCGCGTGCTGCGTATTGCACCGGCAATGAACTTGTGCAAGGTCAGGGATTCTATAGGTACCTATGCAGTATTGTCGGCGGTAACGGGAAACGTTTTGAATAGGTATTTATTGTGCAGGTACGAATGTATCTATTTATTTATCAAGAGACACCAACAGTACATGTATAATACATTGAAAAAATTATACAAAATTAGATCTAATACAAGTACTTATAAAAGGCGAGCGCAATATTTCGAATTTAACTGACGTATTTTAAATATTAACAATAATCAAGACAAAAGCAAAATTAAATTATCATTAAATGTGCATTACGTAAATAAATCAAAGCAAAAAAAAAAAAGAAGAGAAAAAAAGCAAAATCTAGCAAGAATAATCAGTTATTACTCTTGTCAAATCACACCTACATGTTTAGTTAATAGTTAATGACAATAAGCTTGTTGTCATTAATCACAACATACTTTTTTTATGCTACTTAGTATGGCAAACAAGCTGACGGCTGACCCGATAGAAAGTGGTAACCGTCTCATGAATAGTACCATGGACATAACAGAGTATACTGTTTCGTCTACGATACTATTCTGTACCCTGTACCCTGTAAATGCACTGCCATATCCCACCCTTAAAAAAAAAATTGAAATGTAATTTATTTGTAGCTCTAGTGCTGTCAACCATATAATGAAACGCCATATCATTCAAGAACTGATTGTATCTTAAACCGATTTAAAAAAAATGGAACTTTAAGAAGTTCCATTTTTTTTAAATCGGTATTAAGATTTTTAAAACTGTATTAAGATACAGTTGTATTTTTTTATATTTGTTACCTCATAACTCTGTCAGTTATAAGTCGTTTAGAAAATTATTTTTTTATTTGAAATGATACACTTTCAGATAGATCTCATAGATATTTTATCAAAATCGGTTCTGTAAATATTTTTGTCAAATCTGTTGTAGATACCAAATTTCGCGATTTTTTTTATAAACCTAATGTATAATAAATCACGTAAGGATATCCGTATAAGACATCGCGTAATTAAACCTAATGTGTCTGCAAAACATTTCGTAGTTTATCGTTGTAATCTGTCAGTACTATTACGGTTGAAATAGCTGGTTTTTTCCAGATCAAAATGTGTTTTCATCAAGTGTACTTAAAATAATTGAAAATAAAAATCACCATTTATTTATAGTTACTCTTGTTCTCGTAATAAACAAAAAAGTCCTTTGTTAATAAAAAGAAGCTAAATTCTTCTACAATAACATTTTAGCATTTTTGCAGTGTTTTGCCACTTTCTTTCAGATTGGGAATTTTGAGAAAAAAAAAGACAAAACAGTTCAATAGTTAAAATAAGTTTATGAGATTTTTGGCATTTTTATGAATAAGAGCGTAAGTATTTTCCACAATAGAGTAGGTATTTATTAGAAATAGACTGTGTTGCCAGGCAGGGAAAATTCACTTGACTAGATGTGTCTTTTATGGTGTCACCGGCCTTTAATAACTTTGTTTCGGAGGGACGTAAATTTGTTTATTTCTTCCTCCTATATCGCCTTCTGATTAAATTGATAGAGAGATTTAGAACGTAGCTTTATTATCTCCCTGGAGGGACTACGTGAGTTACATCCGTAATTTAGTTAACACTAGCGGTATCCTGTGACTTTGTCCACGTAAAAGGAAATAAAAAATGTACATGTTAATGTAGGACATGCATCATTTGTGTACTAAATTTCGTTTAAAACTTTTCAAACTTTAGCTATTTAAGTGTGATTAACAAACATCCAAAGATTTTTATAACATATCACATTTGTCAACCGATTTCAAAAAGAAAGAGGTTTTCAATTCCGTTGTATTTTTTTTATGTTTGTTACATCATAACTTCATCAGTTGTAAACAGATTTGGAAAACTTTTTTTTATCTAAAAGGATATTACTTTCAGATTAGTTCTATACTTTACTTTTTATAAATTATAAATTTTCTACATATTTTAATTTTTATGTTTTTTTTTTGTATGTTTTGATTGTTATATTTTTATATGTTATTCGAGCACGTTGTAATACAATTGTACCTCTATGGGTTAAGTACCTATATAATAATATAAAGAATATTATTATTATTATATAAATTTCATCAAAATTTTAAAAATTCAGTATTTATTTTTATGTAAATCAAAATAACTGGTTTTGCCCCTTGAATTGAAGTGTTTTTTTTTTGTGGAACATTTTTTTAATTGTACTATTAGAAATTGTTAATTTATGATTATTAATAGCATTTAGACAATAAAGTTTATGCTATAAGCATTAGTTGTTTTGCATAACATGACTAGGTAGGTGGGTACATATTTATCCAACGAGTTAGTATACGAGTATGAGCAACATTAAACAATGAAAATTACAATGATCATTAAAGAAACGGATTGTCATTGTTTTGAAAGGAAATATAATATTATCTTATAATGGGTAGGTTACTGGAAGTAAAATTATTATTATTATATCAGTCATTAACTGTTCATTGCTGGTTTTGCCAGTTGCTATGCTTAGCAGGCGGATTAACTAACCTAACCGCAGTTAGGTTTGCGTGATATTTTAAGAGAGATGCTGATAACTGCTAAGGCAG